CGGGCTAGGTACTGGGCCGGGCGTGGGCTAGGTACGGGGCCAGGTGCGGGTCTAGGTACTTGGCCGGGCGCGGGCTAGGTACGGGGCCAGGCGCTGGGCTAGGGACGGGGCCTGGTGCTGGGCAGGTATGGGGCCGGGCGCTGGGCAGGTACGGGGCCGGGCGCTGGGCAGGTACGGGGCCGGGCGCTGGGCAGGTACGGGGCCGGGCGCTGGGCAGGTACAGGGCCGGGCGCTGGGCAGGTACGGGGCCGGGCGCTGGGCAGGTACGGGGCCGGGCGCTGGGCAGGTACGGGGCCGGGCGCTGGGCAGGTACGGGGCCGGGCGCTGGGCAGGTACGGGGCCGGGCGCTGGGCAGGTACGGGGCCGGGCGCTGGGCAGGTACGGGGCCGGGCGCTGGGCAGGTACGGGGCCGGGCGCTGGGCAGGTACGGGGCCGGGCGCTGGGCAGGTACGGGGCCGGGCGCTGGGCAGGTACGGGGCCGGGCGCGGGGCTAGGTACGGGGCCGGGGCGCGGGCTAAGTACGGGGCCGGGCGCGGGCGTGATACGGGCCGGGCGCGGGCTAGGTACGGGGCCAGGTGCGGGCGACAGACGGGGCCGGGCGTTGGGTGCAGAACGGAGGCCGGGCGCGAGGCTAGGTACGGGCCGATCGTGGGCTAGGTACGAGGCCAGGCGCGGGCGAGGTACGGGCCGGGCGCGGGGCTAGGAACGGGGCCGAGCGCGGGCTAGGTACGAGCCGATCGCGGGCTAAGTACGGGCCGGGCGCGGGCTAGGTACGGGGCCGGGCGCGGGCTAGGTACGGGCCGGGCGCTGGGCGAGGTACTGGGCCGGGCGCGGGGCGATGGAGTCGACAGGGCCAGTGGGGCCGAGGGGCACAGCTAGGGGCGACGGGGCCAAGGGGCCGAGCCTAGGGGCTAGGGGCGACGCCAAGGGGCGACGGGCCGGGGCCTAGGCTAGCAGGGCATTAGGTGGTGGGCCCATTGATGTGAGGTCCTAGGAACGACCTACTCTGATAGCATGTTTGAATAGTAGCTTGACTTAGGAACCATGGCTAGGTTAGAGTGTCGAGAGAATTTTGGGTGTGTGAAAGTCGAGAAGGAGAATGAGGGGTTTCACTATAGAAAGTTGGGATACAAATAGCAAACCCTAAATTGGGTTGTACTCACTACAGAGTACCCCACTACAGGCTAGACAGCAAATACATTCTGACAGGCAATGCGCCAGCAGGAGTACGACTTCGTTATTAAGCACTGGCCGGGCAAGAACATGCAACATGTAGACAGGCTGTCGAGGCATCCAGCGCATGAGACGACGTCAGCATGCTTAATGGCGCTGGCTCGAGAGATCGACCAGGAGGGAGCCAAGAAGGGCAAGGAACGAGGGCCAGAGGATGCGTGGGCTGATCGGGAGGTACTGGAGTGGGTGCAAGGCAGAACTGGAGAAGAGGGAGCGGTAGCCGAGAGAGTGAGAGCCAGGGGAGCGCACTATCGCTTGTACGAGGACCAGCTGCAAGTAAACACCAAGGACGGGTGGAAGGTGGTACCAGAGCCAGCCCAAAGGGAAGACATCATAGCACGTGTGCATCGGCAGTTGGGCCATTACGGAGAACTAAGGACACAGCAGCTGGTGGGAATGACCTGGTGGTGGGCAGGGATGCGAAAACAAATCCGGGAGTGGGTGCAGAGTTGCGAGCTGTGCAGCCGGAATCGAGCCGAACTGGATAGGGGCAGGGGGGAGCTGCAATAGCTGCCTATACATGGGCTGGGGTTCCGCTGGTCCTTGGACCTAGCGGGAGAGATGCCTCTGAGGAAAGAGGTACATCCTCATAATGATTGAGCACGGGAGTAAGTGGGTGGAAGTGAAGGTGATGCCGAGCAAGAACTCGGCCAGGGTGGCGGAGGCGTTCGAAGAACAAGTACTGACGCGGTTCGGAGCATGCAAGGAAGAGCTAACCAACCAGGGAACGGAGTTCAAGGGGCAGTTTGGCCAGCTCTTTAAGGAGACTGGAATCACATATAGGAGAACCTCTCGGTACCACTCGCAGAGCGACGGGCTGACAAAGAGGTTCGTGAAAACCATCAAGAAGGGCTTAAGGGCGTATGGCGAGCAGTATAAGAGAGACTGGGACCTAAGGCTACCGTGGGTGGCAACAGGCTACAGATTCAGTAAACAAGCTGCGCTGAAGAACCTGTCGCCTTATTATCTCCTATTGGGCAGGGAGCCGATCTTGCCCATAAATGCTCCCAAGCTGCTGACTGACACTGTGTTTGCGGGATCGGGGGAGAAGTGGGTGGCAGTGGCGGAAGCACGAGCAAAATACTTAAGGGAGCTGCTGCCAGCAGCATTAGAGAACCTACATGTGGCACAGCTGAGGGACGTGCAAAGGTACCGACAGAGAGGAGCCAAAGGGGAAGGAAAGGGGGTGAGGGAGATTCAGACGGGAGGGGAGGTGTACCTGAAGCAGGCAAAGAAGGACCTGCTAGATATAGGATTGACCACCGCAAGGTGGAAAGTGAAGGAAGTAAAGGAGTGAGGAGTGATAGTACTGGTGAGTGAGAAGGGGGAGGAAAGGAGGGACCACGTAATTAACGTGGCAGCAGCACGACCCAGGAGGGGAGCCAGGGACCCAAGGGGGACAGGTAACCAAGACATCTTTGTCCCGTAGCAAAGAGGTCCATCAGCCACCTAGGAGGCAAGGCGCCGACGAGGGGCCAAGTGAGGAGACAGCGAGTGTACCAATGATTAGCAGGAAGACATCAAGCAGGGACCAAGAAGAGAGGTGTCAACAAGAGGAGAACAGCCAGAGGCAAGAAGATTCCAACAGCTGCCACACAATTAATAAGCCAATAGAAGAATAGGCTAGCTTATAGGTAGCCTTTCTATGATTGAGTGACAGAACGGTGTAGTGTTGTAAGAACCATCAGTAGCACTAGAGAAACAAGGCAACTGAAAGTGCCGAGCCTGGGACGAATCGACAAAAGCGGGAAGTGCATCAAAAGGTGTAACGGCTGGATGGGCATCACTACATGGGCAGGTTGTGGGCGTTGGACCGTCTGTTTGTTTGTTTGTTTGTTTGTTTGTTTGTTTGTTTGTTTGTTTGTTTGTTTGTTTGTTTGTTTGTTTGTTTTCTCGTTGTTAGCTAAAGGATTACGTAAGCTTAGTTACCGGGAAGCCGCTTCAAACAGACAGTCAGCCGAGCATATCCATCGGATAGTGAGGAGTAGCCATACTCTCATTAGGAGACAGAGGGTGTACCAATGATCAGCAGGTAGACATCAAGCAGGGACCAAGAAGAGAGGTGTCAACAAGAGGAGAACAGCCAGAGGCAAGATTCCGACAGTGTTACGAATAGTGAATTGAGAAACACTAAGCATTCCTATCAATAGCAAGTGAAGAGTGCAAAAGCGAGTACGAATGCGAAGGGTCAGAATGACGCAAAACGTCGCGTACAATTGGCAGAATCTGGACCGTCAGAACAGAAGCATCGGGTAGTTGCAGCACAAAAAATCCGGCGGGAACGGGTTTGTAACCGTCCCGCATCGCACGGTTGTGTTTTCGCTGCAATAAAGGAATGTACCCCTTAGAGTGCATGGCTAGCTGTGACGTTTTGTTTTCCCTTTTGTTTCACGATATAACTTATATATGCATTTGTTATAATCACTTTAGTCGATTTATATTCACACTGATCTGAGGTCGTTACTTCCAATGCAATTCATGTTGTGCGAACCTTCGTGAGGTGATCCTAGGCACGATCACCTTTCCAAGCGCAACAGTCTTCACCATCGCTTTGCATGAGACCTAGCTCATCATCATTGTCAGCGAGAATACTAAGCAGCGGGAATATGTCAGCAAGGTGGTTGTAGGCCGGTCTGACAAAAAACTCTTGATATCCTCTGTACAAAAGGTGAATCACATCTAGTAATTGGAGGCGAGACATTGCATTCCTTGAATCAGAGGTTGCCTGCAGTTGGCGTGAAGTACTTCTCTCAATTAGTAGTCCAAGAACCAATGAGAGGGATGCATTTGTTTCAAAGTTTGAACCCGAGCGGCGCAATGTTTGGCGAAATTTTCGAAATGGTGTCATTCGCGTTACGCGTGCACAGTAAATTGAATTTTCAAAACCTTGAAAATTTGTCACCAAAAGTGAAATGGTGCGCCCTTAGAATGAACGTGTTTTCTGCTCCTAGCCGGAACCCTAATGTTTTCTTGTTCGCCCCTTCGCCTTGTTTCGGGCAGAACGTTAGGTGTACAGTTTGAAAGCTTGTGCCAGCCCCTCCAAGGCGACGTAATTCTAGCTAGGGAAGAGATCTGGATTCTGGAAGCCCTGAGGTCGGGCTCGAGTCCCTCAGTTCTGGTGGTGGGCCATCAGGTGACCTCGACCTGGTGGGGCACAAGGTTCGCCCAAAAGTCACCCAAAACAAAAACCCAGGTGTCATCCAGCGGTGTGAGGAAGTTTACAGATGCGCGTGCGTACATATTCTCGACACCTGGCTCCAAACCTTCTGTGCTTTTCGTGAGCGTAGCCCGCCTTTGTTGCCATGTTTCTGGATTTGGATGTGCAGTCATGTCATCGCTTTGATTCGGCCTCACGCCTCCCCTCAGCTCTCTGCCGGCTTTCACTGGCAAACGGTCTGTTCAGTTCACTACTCGCCACGCAATACTTCTCTCCCACAGAATGAATCCTAGCCTCTCAAACGTCACTACGTGGCAGAATTGCCACGTGCGAGGAATCACAACCAAGGGGTTGGTTGGTTCGTTCGTTAGTAGGCCAGCCCACAACAGACAGAACCACAGAGGTAGTGCGGAAGAGTCGCGTGACCTGTGGAATAATCTGGGGCTTCTTCTTTCAGAGATATCCAGGGAATGTCTAGAGGCCGCAACAGTAAGTTTCAGCGCAGTTAGTTATCCGACAACATTACGCCTTTCCCACGTCACTACCTTTGCAGCGCGACATTATGTGTAGGGTAAGGCGCACATGCGAGATGGGGGACAGAAGCCGACTAATGGCGGCGATGAACGTTGTTCTCCTTATTCCACTCGTTCTGGCCTTCATGCCTCCCCACGTCGCCCACGCTTCCACGCCGCAACCCACGCAATTCGAGATCTCCATGCGAAAAACGTTGGAGCTTCCCGAGGAGTTGAGGCGGCAGCATGCGGACCGCATTCTCGAAGCCGCTCGCGACGCGGAACGCGAATTCGAAAGCGGCGGTGCGGGCGGCCGGCGCGGCGAGCGTGTTCTGGTGGACACGGGAGTGAAGCTCGGGCTGTCGGCGCCGCCGCTCAGCTCGGGGCCGAGCATGGCGACGGTGAACATGTCGTTCTACCGCTGGGAAAGTGTCGCGCCGCCGCCTGTCATCGACTGGCGCAGGACCGTCGCCATCACGCCCATCCAGACGCAATATGTGGTGCGTATTCCGCTCGCGCCTCCACACCCGTCTGCCTCTCACTTGATGTCTGCTAGCTGCCATGGGCTGTAGCCTGTTGTGCATTCATTCAGCTCACATTATTAGCAGCCTGTGTGTTATTTGCTAAATTCTGCATTTTCTAACCCTCCTGCTTAACTTATTACTCTACTCTTACTACTCAGCTCCAATTTCCCACTTACTCTCCTCACATCCCCCGCAGTGCTCAAGCTCATGATGTGGGCGATCGCCAACAACGGCGTCGGGACGAATATGTCGCCGCAGCAGGTGTGCGACTGCGCGACGAAGCAGTGCTGCCAGGGCGGGTGGCCCGAGTGGGCCTTCTCCTACGTGCTCTTCAACGGCGGCGTCACGTCCAACGCCAACTACCCCTACCTCGCCTACGATTCCGCCACGTGTCTGCTCGACACATCCATGCCGTCCGTGGCGCAGATCACGGGGTGGGAGCTGGTGCCGGCATTCAACGCCATGGCGCTCATGAAGGCCGTCAGCATGCAGCCCGTCGTCGCCTTCGTCAGCGCCTCCGCCGCCGACTTCACCGTACGGCCTGCGCCCTGCGTCCCGCTCCCGCTTCCCGCGCTTTTCCGCTCACACCGTTGAGCGTGTCCTCCCCTCACACTGTTTTTTTATTTCCCCCGCTTCCTTGCGTTTCGCACCTCCCCTGCATTCTGCGCGCTGAGCCCCGCTCCCGCTCCCGCTCCCCGGGTTTTTGCGCACATTCCGCTCCCCATTCCCCGCGTTTCCAGCTCACACCGCGTTTACTACGTGTCTCTCTCAGATCACTTCATGATTCAAGAAAAGATCCCGCGTTTCCCCGCTCCCATCGCTTCCAATATCCCGCGTTTCCCCAGTCGCCATGTGTCCCGACTCCTAGAGTTACCCAAATCGCACCGATTACCGATTCCCTGCGTTTCCTTCCCCTATCGTTCGCCTCTCTCCGCGTGTAGGCGTACTCAAGCCGCGGCGTGCTCAATATATACAACGGGGTGTGCTCGACGGAGGTGAACCACGCGGTGGTGGTGGTGGTGGGCTTTAACTACACGGGGCCGGACCTCAAAGGGAGCTACTGGATCATCAAGAACTCGTGGTACGCCACGTGGGGCGACCGCGGCTACATGTACCTCGCCATGACGCCCGACGTGCGCGGGAAATGCGGCATCCTATCGTACGTTCCTTGACCCACTGTCGACACTCATTCCACAAGACTCGTGCGCTGCTCTCGCATGTGCTTTGAGGGAGCGATATTGTCGCCACGTTCTCGTGCGCGTCTCGCATCGCCGACATCCTGTCTTCTACCTCCGTTGCGCATCCCTATTGCGTGTGCTCCCAGACCCTGCAGTAGCTTCGAACGCCCGTCAAACTTTTATTCCTCCACTAATCAAACGATTCTGCACTCCTCACACGAATCGTCGCGATTCACGCTGAGATTGCGTGCTGCTGTTTTGAGTGACATGCAGAGTCGTCTCCAATTTCGTGTGCGCGTGTCCCCCCTCCCGTCCCTGCGGCCACTTTCACGCGCTACTATCTCTAACGCCTGCCTGCGCCGCACTCACGAGGTCCCTGTTGCGCGTCCTCCCACTTTGGCAGACTAGACGCCCCTTTTCCCCTCCCCCGCCTGCCAGTGTGGCGAAAGATTGTTTGTCTAGCTACTAACCACATCCTTCTCTCCTCTCCTTGTTTTCCGCGCAGAACCCCCGCCAGGTACCCGGTCTACTTCCCATCCGGGTAGCAGCCGGCGCGCTTCTCGTCCGACAAGGGCGGCAAGTGGAGAATCAACAAAGTGGACGACCTCTCGTCGTCGCTCTTCTCCTCCACCCTTTCAACCACCAACACCCCCAGCACTACAATTACGACCACGATAGGTACGATGTGCGCGGGGATGATCAACCCGTGCGGCGGGGGCAGCTGCTACATGAGCGGCGGAGTTCCGCGGTGCAACTGCAGCGCGATGGCGAATATGGTTGAGATGTTGGGAGTGCCCACGTCCAAGTGCGTGCCGCGAAGTCCCTGCACGACGGCTCTCGTGAATCCCTGCGGCGGCGGAACGTGCAGCGATGTTGGCGACGGGACGTACACGTGCGCGTGCACTGCGGGTTTCGCCATCGGCGCTGCTGTTGACGGTTCGCCGACATGCGTTCCTGCGGCTGGCCTCGCGAAGTCCTATGTTACCAACCCTGGCGACAACTGCACGTTTGTCGCGACAGCTTTCGGAATTTCGACCACCACGCTGACAAACCTGAACACTTTCATTAACTGCTCCGTTACAGAATACCTCCCTCCCGGAATTGCACTTACAGTATCAGCAACACTTACTTCCGCATCCTCTTATTGCACCAACACATACACCGTCCGACCTCCCGACTCTTGCACTTCTATAGCAAACGCTTATTTCAACGGATCTCTCACTTCCCTTATGGCAAGCAACCCTGGCTTATCATGCAAGCGCTTGTTCAAGTCGGAACAAATATGCCTCCAAATGGTTACCGCATCCGCCACATCATCGGCTGTACAGTGCGGGCAAAGCGTCGACGTGGTTACGGGAGACACTTGTGCATCGGTTGCTGTTAAATATTCAGTTGACTACGCGACCGTTGTACTGTGAGTATTCCAAACCCTGCAACCCAATTGTTTGCATTTCAAAGTTTCCATCCGCCCTCACTTCCCCTCTTCTCCCCCTATCCTATTCAACGCTGTTTCACTAATCCCCTCTTTTCACCCTGGCTCTCGCATTCCGCATGTCTACGCCCACTCACTCCATCTGCTACTCACCCAGTCTCACCCTCGCCCTGCAATTCCTCTCCGTTGCTGCAGGCTCAACCCAGCAGTCAAGATCCGCAGTCAAGACCCATCTACAACAGCAGTCTTGCAGTGGGCTCCTCTGTCTGTGCCGCGCCAAGATCCGCTGTGGTAGGAACCAAGAAGATGCTTCCCCTTCTTCTCTTTGAATACCGACCCCTTTTCTCCATTATTCCTTAGACGTGCAGTTTTTCTTCCCCTCTCCCACCCCCATCCCCTCCCTGTTCCCAGTCTCTCTGTTCCCAGACTCCATGGTGCGTATTTCTGGCTTTCTTTCCTGTCTCCCATCCCCTATCCACCCTGCCTCCCACCCCTACCCCCCCTGTCTCCCATCATCCCCCTCTGACTCCTCCCTTCCCCATCCACATATCCCCTGTGGTTTCTGTCTCCAGACCAGCATCAACTGCACGGGGTGGTACCGGGTGATGCAGGGCGACACATGCCCCTCCATCTGGAATGCAGCCAACCTCACCATGTCCATGTTCCTCTCCATCAACCCGGGCATCCAGGTAAACCATTAACCCTTGCATCCGGGTACCTTCCTTGCACCTTCACATATTGCCCCTTCCGGAATACTTGATGGCTTATTTCCTTTCCCTCTCCTCAATGAACGTGCGGTTGTTGTTGTTGTTGTTGTTGTTGTTGTTGTTGTCGTCGTCGACGTCGTTGTTGTTCCTCTCCATCAACCCGGGCATCCAGGTAACTTCCTTGAAGCTTTACATACCGCCCCATACGACAGCATCCATTTAAGATTCTGCCACATGCTGAAGTATGGGAAGGGTTGAGATACAATAAATGGGCAAGTTTTTGTTGTACCTCAACCCTTTCCCAATCCATTGTCTCGCATTCAGGTGGCTTATTTCCTCAGGACTTGCCTTTCCTCCGCTCAATGAACGTGCCGGTTTTGTGTGTGTGTGTGTGTGTGTGTGTGTGTGTGTGTGTGTGCGTGCGTGCGTGCGTGCGTGCGTGCGTGCGTGCGTGCGTGCGTGCGTGCGTGCGTGCGTGCGTGCGTGCGTGCGTGCGTGCGTGTGTGTGTGTGTGTGTGTTTTCCCTCTTGTCTTTTCACTCTTCCCCCCTCCCCCCTGCAGTGCCAGGCGCCCTACCTGGTGGTGGGCCAGCAAGTGTGCATTAACTCACCCGTCCTCACCACCATGCAGCGAAACCCAAACGCCAACTACTCGATCTACACCGTCCGTGCCAACGACACCCTCTCCACCATCTCCTCCCTCTTCCTCCCCCGCTGCACGCTTCTCTCCGTGACCCCCGCCGCCATCGCCACCCAAAACTTCATCGTTAACCCCTCTGCACCACTCCCCATCGGCATGAACCTCATCATCCCCTGTATAGGCGGCTTCGGCATGATCGACGGCGGCTGTGCGTTGTCTCTCACAGTGTGCGGAGCGGATTTCGTCTCGTACCCGTCGTACTGCCATGCAGCCGTGAACTACGCTCTTCCAATCTTCCAGAATAGCCCGTGTGACAGGTGTGGGGCCTCATGCCCTGGCCACATGGGACTGGCTCCGCTCGGTGGCTTCGGCTGCATGCAAGCCATCTGCCCGTATCCAACCTGGTTTGGAGGATCAGAGTGCTATTTAGGTGGTGGCAACACTACCACAACAACTGGCAACACTACTTATACGCTTGGGCCGTGCTGCAGTTACCGAAAGATCTTCTGCTAGAAGCAATGCAGCCTGACAGTTCAAACCGCAGGCGGTGACGAGATTAAAAGGGTTGCAACCCTAAACACATGCATGAGCAACTGCATCTGCTGCGGTGCTTTCCCGTGCGGAGGGAACGCGACGTGCAGCACATGGAACAATGCATGCTGGCTGACCTCTCCTCGCTCGTGCACGTATGCCATGGGGACAGGGTACACATACATCTGCAGCTTCTACCCTCCTGCAATTCCCCTGGTTTAAACAGCTGCTGCGCTTCCCATGCTTTGAAGAGCTGCCTGTACGGGTCGCCTGCTATCAGACCTCTCCTCCGCACGTGCACGTATGCCATGGGGACAGGGTACACATACATCTGCAGCTTCTACCCTCAAGTGCCCCTGGTTTAAACAGCCTACCCTCCTCAAGTGCCCCTGGTTTAAACAGCCTACCCTCCTCAAGTGCCCCTGGTTTAAACAGCCTACCCTCCTCAAGTGCCCCTGGTTTAAACAGCCTACCCTCCTCAAGTGCCCCTGGTTCAAACAGCCTACCAAGTGCCCCTGGTTCAAACAGCCTACCCTCCTCAAGTGCCCCTGGTTCAAACAGCTGTAGTGGGTCGTGGATGTAGAGCAGCGCCTGCCCCTGCACACCTCTCCTCGCACCTGCACATACAACACCCTACAGGGTACACACACGCACATCTGCAGCGACTACCCTCCCGCGGTCCCCTTGGTGTAATCAGCTGCCTGTAAGGGGCACCTGTAAGGGGCACCTGGAAGGGGCACCTGGAAGGGGCACCTGTAAGGGGCACCTGGAAGGGGCACCTGAAAGGAGCACCTGTGGGGACACCTGTGGGGTGCATGGGGTGAGCGTGCGTTGTACGAACTTATGTGCACTGGGAGGGTCTGTTCCTCTTTTATTTTGTGCTGAGCTGAACCATCGTAGCTGCCAGTCTATTGCTTGTTTCTGCCGGCTCTATCATTGTACGGTACTATGCATTGTGTACATTCAATTTGTTCTTCCTTCGTGAACTAGAGTCACCACCATCACACATGGGTAGATGATTGATCCATCCTAGCTTCCTTTCTTTTGTTTCTTTCTGCTGGCTCATTGTTGTCGATTGCCATTGTAATTCATTCAATTTATTCTTCCTTCGTGAATTGAAAAGTCACCATTCATGAAAAGTCACCATTTATGCTTCCAATTTTCAAGCATGAGCCAACTGTATGGTAATTCGGTCCATTAACATCTGGACCAGCAGCACCCAGCCCAACCCAACCTATTACCGTAAGGCCCCGGATAGTAGCGCCCCTGGGGGTATAAAAAAACACTTAATTTTTGGGGGTGCGCTTATAATCGAGGTTTTTTATAAGCGCCGGCGTTTATATAATGACATTTATGAAATGCGTATTTCTTACACCAAATTGTAGATCACGTTCTCGTAATTTGAATCGAGTCGAAACTATACAGGGCTGGAATTGAGAATCTCCCGCCAGTTGGCAGGGAATGATTCCCTGCCAACACAGACAGTCAGAATGAGTCAACTTACGCTGCCGACAGCTCATTCTGACTGGACGCGCAGGCACTGAGCCGAGCGAGGTGAAGGGCTTCGAAATTCAATCATGTGGGAATGGAACATGTGAGTTTCGTTACAACGATTTCAGTACAATTATAGCAAAACAAAACAGAGGATGGCGCTTATAATCCGTAAGCCTTCAGGGGTGGGCTTATAATCGAGGACCGGATATAAGCGCCGTCATCCTTTTATAAGCGCCGGCGCTTATCCGAGGCCTGCGCTTATATCCGGGGCCTTACGGCAGTGTTGCAGACTGGGTACAGTAGAAGTGTACTGTACTGAATTTGGTATGGTATCATCATGGTTCACCACATGCAGCAACATGTCTTCATCTCACTCGCGTCACCAACAGAAAGGTGTGGCAGCGCGGCATCTTCTAATCAACAAAGAATGATAGCCATGTGCCAACACACACAACAAAATGCCACCCACAACGCAATGCGCCACCGGCCCTATGAGTAACCACCCGTTCACCTCTCTCACCCACCACCAGCACCCCTCCTTGGTCCTCTGAAGCACTCACCACTGCCACCTCACCCATTCTGCATCCAGGATCCACCTCACTCTTCTCTATCTTCTTAGTCTTCTCAATCTTCTCACTGTTACTCCATACACCCAAAATCCCCAGCTGCTGCAACTGCCCTCTTCTCACTTACTACTCACGCAAGCGTTACCCCGTAACCAGCACAGAACTGCGCCAGAGCCTCCCGGTTCGCATCACTCACCCCCTGCTGTATCACCGCTCCGAACCGCCCCGGACTCCTCGCCGTCAACGCCCCCAGCCCCACAGTCAAATACTGCCTCGCATCATTCGTCTTATCCTTCACCGGATCCTCCTCCGTCTTCCCCGCATGGTGCAGCTGGGCATACGAGGCCGCATACCCCGATGTTATCTCCTCTGCATCTGGCACGTCAGGCTCCTCTGCCTGTGCTGCCTCTCTCTGCTCCCGGGGCTGCACCAGCAGGGTCAGCACGGCGTCGAGCAGGCGTGCCCACGTGGGCAGCGCGGAGTCAGCCTGAAAAAGGGGGGAAAGGGGGCATGGGGGGGAGGGGGGGGAGAAGGTTAGGAATGTGTTAGGGTGATGGGTGAACACGGAGTGGTACAGGAGAAAAGGCAGATGAGGGAGACAGGGCACCCTCACTTTCTGCTTCCTCCGCCTGTGCTGCCTCCAGCTGCTCCTTGGGCTGCACCAGGGGGTTAAGACAGCGTCCAGGAGACGATTTTTGAGTCGACTCAAAAATCGACTCATCACACGCGTCAAGGAGACGAGTCTACGTGGGCAGGGTCGACTCAGCCTGACGGGGGGAGCAGATGGGGAAGGGGGGGTGTAAGGGGGCAGGAAGTGGGGGAAAATGGGGAAGAGTGGGACGATTGAATGGTGGACACGAGGTGAAGTGGAGGCGGGAAGGGGGATGAGGGAGATTGGGAGAGCTCTGCTTCTGCTTGCTCTGCCTGCGCTGCCTCTCGCTGCGTGAAGGGATGGGGAAAGAATGGGACGTTTCATGGTGGGGGTTGTTGGGAGAGCGGAGAAAGGGACGACATATTGGATTCTCGGTGTTTTGCACTGCTTCACCTGTCTGGCACCGTACAACCCACCTGCACTACGAAACGCGCCTGCAGCCTGCCATCCACCCACACCACTCACCACCCACCAGCACCACTCACCACCCACCAGCAACACCCGACCACCCACCTGCAGCTCGCTGCATTCACAGAGCATGTGAAGGTCGAGGGGCCGGCCATGTGAAGGGGAGGGAGGGGGAGACTCAACCCGCCATTCATTGCACCACCCACCATTCATTGCACCACCCACCACCCACCTGCAGCTCGATGCATTCACAGAGCACGTCAGTAGCCACCACAACACAGAGCTTGGTCTTCACGGCATCACAGATGGAGGGCAATTGAGGCGCCCACACGTGAGGGGGGAGAGGAGGGGGCATGTGACGGGGAGGAGGGAGGAACTCAACCCACAACCCACCATTCATTGCACCACCCACCACCCACCACCCACCACCCACCTGCAGCTCGATGCATTCACAGAGCACGTCAGTAGCGGCCACGGCACAGAGCTTGGTCTCAACCGCGTCACAGATGGAGGGCAGTCCTGGCGCCCACACGCCGGCGGTGATCTGCAGGAAGAGGCCCGGCTGCACGGCGTTGACTGACGCCACCACGGGGGCCACTCCGTGCTTGACCAGGAAGAGCGAGAGGAAGATGAGCAGCCCGCGCACGAACTTGGGCGTGCGGGAGTTCTGGAGGGGGGAGTTGGGGGAAAGGGTGAGAGGGGATGGGAGGGGAGGGAATAGAATACGACGGGGCGAGAGGGACAGGGATGCATGATTAAAAGGGGGTGTGTGAGGGGATGGGAAGTGCACTGTGCGAGACGAGCAGAAGAGCAGGTTGCACATGGCAGGGAAGACAGATGCTAGTTACTCCTCATCCACATCATCACCCATTCAGTATCGCTCACTGTCACCAGCACCGCTGTGCACCCCACCCACCTACCGTACCACACAACATAACTGCTCTGCACCTACTCACCAACCCACTCACCCATTCACCAACCCACTCACCCATTCACCAACCCACTCACCCATTCACCAACCCACTCACCCATTCACCAACCCACTCACCCATTCACCAACCCACTCACCCATTCACCAACCCACTCACCCATTCACCAACCCACTCACCCATTCTCCAACCCACTCACCCATTCACCAACCCACCAACCCATTCACCAACCCACTCACCAACCCATTCACCAACCCACTCACCCATTCACCAACCCACTCACCCATTCACCAACCCACTCACCCATTCACCAACCCACTCACCCATTCACCAACCCACTCACCCATTCACCAACCCACTCACCCATTCACCAACCCACTCACCCATTCACCAACCCACTCACCCATTCACCAACCCACTCACCTACTCAACAACCCACTCACCTACTCACCAACCCACTCACCCATTCACCAACCCACTCACCTACTCACCAACCCACTCACCCATTCACCAACGCACTCACCTGCTCACCAACCCACTCACCTACTCACCAACCCACTCACCTACTCACCAACCCACTCACCTACTCACCAACCCACTCACCCATTCACCAACCCACTCACCCATTCACCAACCCACTCACCTACTCACCAACCCACTCACCCATTCACCAACCCACTCACCCATGCACCAACCCACTCACCTACTCACCAATCCACTCACCCATTCACCAACGCACTCACCCATTCACCAACCCACTCACCTACTCACCAACCCACTCACCTACTCACCAACCCACTCACCTACTCACCAACCCACTCACCCATTCACCAACCCACTCACCTACTCACCAACCCACTCACCTACTCACCAACCCACTCACCTACTCACCAACCCACTCACCTACTCACCAACCCACTCACCTACTCACCAACCCACTCACCTACTCACCAACCCACTCACCTACTCACCAACCCACTCACCTACTCACCAACCCACTCACCTACTCACCAACCCACTCACCTACTCACCAACCCACTCACCTACTCACCAACGCACTCACCTACTCACCAACGCACCTACCAGCAGCCTATAGAGGAGCGGCTCCAGATGGTGGGCACCAAGGGTGCAAGGGCTGCATGGTCTAGCCGCTCACCCATTCATTTCCGTTCACACCCACCCATCAGCACCCCTCTGCAACCCTTCATTCAACCACCCGCCCATCCATTCACTAATTCAACCATCCACACCCACCTGCAGCCTGTAGAAGAGCAGGTTCCAGATGGTGGGCACAAAGGGCGCGAGGGCAGCATGGTCTAGATGCTCCACAACGGTGTTGAGAATGAAGAAGCCCTGATGGTCCGAGTGCTTCGAGGCGATCAGCTTCTGAAACACTCCCAGCACTGGCGGCACCTGCCCCCCGCCCACTATCTCCTTTGACGCCTTTTGCAGGTATGCCTGGGGAAGGATGTGGGGAAGGGGAGGAGGAGGGGGAGGGGGATGGGGACAGGGACGGGGAGAGAAGGTTACAGAGGATGAGGCTAGGGCATGGTGGGCATGTGAGGCGGCGACAGGAAGGGGCGAGGGGAGGTGGCGAGGGGAGGGAGTGAGTGAAAGGAGTGAGGGGATCGAATAGAGGCCAAGCATGGAATGACGAGATGGAGGTGAGGCGCGGAAGGAGTGAGGGGACCTCACATTCCCTCTGGAAGAATCAGTTCTCAGAGGTTGCAGAGGAGAGGGACCAGCAGAGGGATGGACAAGGGGAGGGTGGCAGA